TCGCAAGTACGATCTGCCTGTTCAAGATGGGCAGATCGTACATTTTTTAAAATTAGTTTACAACCCTCGCAAGACAAAAGTCTTGCGAGGGTTGTAAAGTGTATGGCCACCTTTAGGGTATTTTCTCTTCTAATTGAATGTTCTTAATATAAGTCAGCTGGCACTTGCTCTCATGTGAAGATAATATGGGCACTAGTATATATTATGAATAGTCCTGTCAATTCTGACAACATCAGTATAAAGGCTGGTTCACACCAAGCCACACAGAAACACATAGTGCATGTATATGTTGCAGTACGGTGTGCGGGTGCACTGCCATATGTTTCTAAACGCATTGCAGTGCTCAGGGTTTTTTTTTCCTTTACCCTCCATGTAAATTCTATGCACTGTAGTGCTCTGTAGAACGCTGCTATAAAATGATACCTGCACCATTACAACGCACACCGACATGCTTTGCTTTACAAAGCAAGGTTTTTTGCCGTGTATTAGCCTTGGGACTGCATTGGGCAATGCTACCCAACAGGGCTGGTGCATTGCTGGTAGAAATATTAGGGACAATATTACTAATCCCATTAACTGGTGCTGATGATTGCCTTTAGCAGATAGAAATAATGTTGCGAAACATAAAAAATAAATATCTTTGCTGCTGTGACAAACCGGGCAGAGTAAGGAGGTGACATCACAGCCATAGCTGCTTTTCCATCACAGGTGCATTCAACAACAGTACTTGGAGATTTGTCTATTGTGCCATTGGCTGAGGCACACTAAGTGGAACCAGCATTCTTTTTCCTTCTGGAAAAGTTGACAATACATAGAGATTTTGGTATGAACGCTCATACAAAAAATCTCGTAAGAACATTAGATAATGCCATCAGAGACTTTGAAATCTGTAATTTCGCTTGATTCAATTTTGCTCATTTTACGTTTTACATCACTATAAATCAAATAGATTATTAATTTTACCTCTATTACAAAATTGAACAAATGTTCTGCTAGTGTATGGCCAGCTTTAGAAGCTTCACAGTGGCACCAGATTTTACATGTGTGGACTGACTGCTACTGTATCTCAGGATGTCAGCCTCCTGCCCTGTCATAGATCACAGAGCAAGGGGTAGATTTACTTTTTATGTTTCGCAAACATCGTTTCTATCTGCCCAAGGCAATCAGCAGTGCCATTTTAATTAATAATATACTAGTGTTCATTTAATTTGCCAGAGAGAGCAAGTGCCAGCACATTATGGCCACTAGATGGAGCGAGGAGAATAGAAAATAAATGATAGTAACAAAATACAATGAGGGGAATTCATCAAAACTGGAGCAGACAAAATCTAGAGCAGCTTTGCATGGCAACCAATCAGCTTTACTTTCATTTTCAAATTTTCACTTTACAAACTGAAGATAGAAGCTGATTGATTACCCTGGGCAACTGCTCCAGATTCTGCCTGCTCTAGTTTTGATAAATTCCCCTCAATGTGTGCCCAATACCCCGGCCTTGCTTCCCAGAATCTGCTGCTTACCCTGCAGGCCTGTGACCAGCATCATGGGTGCTGGCGGGTAGAGGGGAGGGAGACTGGTGAACACCTCCTTGCCGATCTCTTCCCTGCTGAATAGAGCTGGAAGCAACGCTGCTTGTATCACTTTAGTCTCCTCAGCTGTCATTTCCCGGCTCAAGGAGCCGGGGAAGAAGATATGTGATAGCAATGAAGTAAAAAAAGAAAAAGTTTTTAAAAAAGTTAAATAAAAAAAATGTCCCTTTTCCCCACATGCATAGTAAAGTAAACACGAGTTGGGTGCACCTACGTATGAAAACATTGATTGTGTTACACATGTTAGGTATTGCTGCATGTGCCAGTGTCGTGTTTTTAGGCACTATAATTAACAAGTGTAATTTTTACTAAAATTTTTACAGAAATTTTGGGTTTGATTAAGAGTTGTAATATCATGTAACATAAACATTTGCAACTGCCACCGTTGTATTCTACAGTTCATATGCTTTCAGGAAATATATAACTCTCAGAAGTTTTAAGTAATTTTCATGCTTAAAATGTGGATTATAACATGTGTGCAAAAAACTTTTTTTTGATTTTTTTGATGCTGGGTCCCCCTTAAAATTCCTACCAGACCTAAAGGGTCTGGTATAAATTGCGAGGTGAACCGCACTCTTACTTTTTTTTACATTAGGGGTCCCCTCATTTCTACCAGACCTAAAGGGTCTAGTATGAATTGGGGGAGGGGGAGGCACACTGTTTTTTTATTTCTGTGGACTGTTTAACACTTTTGTGTTATCTGTGACAGCGGTCATATTCTTTGTTTACATTCGGAATCGGAATGTCAGCAAAGCAGCAGAAGCTGTTACAAAATAACACAGATCTCTCAGCTTCTTTCTTTGTTTACATTTTGTAGCAATATTCTGATACTTTGTTGCCATTCAGGACACAAGTCCAGAATGTCAACAAAGAGCAGAGAAGCAGGGGAGCTATAAGTTACACATAGCTCTCCCGATTGTTTCGTTCCGAATGAAATTTGGATGTATCCAGTTAGTTATCCAACATTCAGATATGTTCGGATTCGTTATTTCTGTCAATCGGAAATTCGGATGCATTCAAATTGACAGAAATTTTAACTAATTTCAATTTGAAAATGAATCGCACATGTCTAATACACAAATAAGATAGATTTTTGCTAATCGTTAGGGCACTTGAATGCATTTTTAAGATTTAACTACGTTTAGTGTCACTTCAGGATGATTGGCAACCTGGCTCCTGGGATTTGTCCAGCCCTGCACTAGTTGCATTTAAAAATACATTTATGCAATAAATTACTGTGCTAATTGAAGTTTTATATCTGCCCGGATTTCAGCTGTGAGAGCAAATATGCAAACCCTTGATGGTCTAAAACAGATTACAAATATGTAAAAAATGTATTTTATACAGAATCATGAATGACATAAATATATTCATGCAGCATTTGCTGCCAGCTGTCTTTCAAACAGTTAATAATCTTGTGTATTCATCTCTCATCTCTGAAAACCTAATAAAATATATAATGAAATGAAAGCTGCAGTACTAGCACACTAGTACATTGTTTCAGAACACTGCATTCCACAAATTGTTCCTTCAATTAAAATCACACCATTTACTTTTAGGGGAGCAGAAAAAATCTCGGTGCCATAACTGGTTCACCCTGTGGGTGGAATACACATATTAATTCCCTTTTTATGCAGCAACCAACAATTCTCTGCAGGCTCATTTCAGGCTGATTTAAGCTCTCCCTACAGACCCAGAACCCAGCAGAGAGCAGGAGATCAACTCTTCACATACAGGAGAAGAAGGGTTCTGTTATAAACAAGGGCTAATTGTAAAAGACATACAGGATGTTCTATTGAAAGATTTTTTTTTTTGGTGTTTCAGTGCATATATATTATATACATACACACACATACATACATATATATATATATTATATATATACACACATACTGTACACACACATACACACACAGTCACACAGTACATATATACTTTAAATGAATGGAAATAAATATTCTTTATATGTTTTATAAAAGTTTTCCAATTGTTTTTGCTATTCTTATCATGTGTAACAGAGCATTATAGGTTTTCTAAGGAGGGAGAGAGCACAGTATAAGCAACCTTTCTTTCTGTAGATCTTTAATTGAATGGCTTTATAAAGACTTGATTGGCAGAAAAGGGAGGTGGGGCTGGAGCATGGTGGGGAGGGATGACTTATTCAGCTGTGTGTTTAATCTGAGCTTCCAGGAATGAGTACTGTAAACAGGATTTTGCTTACAAAGCAGTTAGGATTTGCTAGATAAATGTAAACAAAATAGCCTACTTGCTAGAAATAGAATAAAATATGCTCATATGCAATATGTCATCATTACCTGAAACATAAATATGTTTTTTATTTTGGTCCTATTCAAAATAAAAACTGGTATATTTAAACTGGACATTCCCCTAAAAATGTACTTCCACTTTTGGGTTCGGGATAAGACCTAGTTTATATTTGGTTGTAGTTTGATCCCCGCTCCCCCAGTGGTTGGTGCTCACCTCTCTCCCCTTTGCTCCAGCTTGTGGACTATCCCTTGGCTAGAAAGGTAAGATACATATTTTAACAAAAACATTTTAAGTGTGCTGTGTGAGTGGGAACACACATATATAGTGAGAGTTTCTCAAATTTGACTGCAAAATTGGAAATACAGTTTAAGTAAACATAAGAATGATTTCTGGGTGTACATTGTAAGTGCTCCTGTGCAAAGGATTACAAGAGGCTAAACTCAAGTTACATTCATGTATTTACATGAGTTGCATTTAAAAACAAATTTGTATGATTTTTTAAAAACATATACCGGCATTTATTATTGGTTTTTTTTTATCTGCCTGGATTTCAGGTATCACTCGTGTTACTGATAAGATAACACGAGCCATATCCAGGAACACCGATAGCTCTCCTTGTTTAGACCTAGTATGTAGTAGAAATGGTGCTGAAGAGCCGCTTGCTATTTCTCTTGTATGCAGTGCAGTAGTAATATGTGAGCAAAATCCGGCTCTATCATGCATCTCATTTTCAGTGTACTTTGCTGTGTGATCAACGCTCATGGCAAGACAAATGGAATTGCATAATGGGTATAAATACAATAAATATCCAAACACATATTGGGTTAAACAGACAGCCCAAGCTAACAATAGCACGTGTAAGAATGTTTTAAAATAGAACAATTCATTTCTATTAATTAAATATTCAGCAATGGTCACAGTTTATGAAAGCTGCTATACACAAAAATGCATAGAAATGATTTTCTAAGAATCACAGTCAAAAAGAAACCATACATTTTCTAGCATGCATAACTATAGATATGTATTGTATGTATTATGCGAGCAGAGACATCGCTGTCAAACTGTAAGAGCACCTAAACGACAATCATCATCAATGCAGATCTATAGAACAGTCATGTCTTTGTAGTAACTGGAACAACACCTTACCTTACTGAAGATCTCCCTCTGCTACTGCTGCAGTGTGTCAAGTGAACGTCCTCGGCATTTTCTCTCTCGCTGGTTGCTTGCTTCTTTGAATCGACAATTTCTCCCTGCAGAAAGGATTTCAAAGCCTGCAGTCAGACACCCAGTCATCACATTTCAGGATGGAGAAAATCTGTTATTATGGAACCCTGTATTTGTGGGTTTGGTCTGCCTGACAGAACATGAAGCCAATAGTATGCTCTCTTATCACCCTGGTTTGGCTGAAAGTGCAGCATTGTACCACATGACTCAATGTGAACTACCAGATTTGCTGTGACTTTGCTATTATTCATCATGCTCTTATCTTCAAGGAAATGTAAACAGCACACAATTCAGAGCCAAGAAAACTTCAAAACATTTGCAGCCACTTGTTTTAAAACGTAAGGAATACTAGCAAATTAGGTGCAAAAATAAAACAGAGCCATTCAGCAACAACTGATTACTGTATGTCCTGACTGGTGGCTCTAGTTCAGTCCAACTTCCTAGTTATCCCTATTTTAGTATGTACTATGAAATGGATGGGTCAATGGTTTTTACTAAATGGTAAATTTGAGAGATTTGGTTGGCTAATGCTAGGACTTAGACACTTGGATTTTTGTTTGTGGATGGTATGGTTAAGCAACTAAAAGGTCAAACACTTTCGATTAAAGTGGAAGTAAAGCACCCAAAAAAAAACCAAAATACCACAAATGCCAATTGGCAGTCTTTGTATGACAGAAGAGGTTGCGTAATTTTTTCTGCCAGAAAAGCTCCTCTCTACCCGTCAGCATTTTTTTCTCTGTACACTGAGCGCATGTACAGCTCAGCACACAAAGCCAGCATGGGGCGATTTAGTAACTCCCATGTGCATGTGCAGGAGCTATGTCATCGGGCTGACCAATCAAGTGGCCAACCACTCAAAACCAAGAAGAATACCTGGCAGAAGATGGGAGGGCCAGTGAGGGAGAAGTGCATCACTGGAGGGTATCATTTTGGCTGGTAGCTCTGCCATAATGTGCTAATATGCTATGTGTTTTTTTTAAAAACCTTTACTTCCGCTTAAAGTAACCGTGCCATAAATGAAATAAGGGGAGTAACATTGCTGATCTTTTGAAAACACTAGATGCCACTTCGACTCAATAAGCATATTGCCTTTGCTTCTAGGAGAGTCAATGGTCTAGTGGTACCCAAACTTCATAGGTATTATCTAGCTGCGAACGTAGCTCCCTTGCCCCATGTACATGATGCCCAAGAACTACTTTTATGGGCCTCCAAGCCTAACTGATTGCCTCCTTCTTCCCCTGTCCCTCTTGCCAAGGGTACACCCAAATTCTCGGTGTAAGGGTCTACTCGGCCGAGACCCTCACACCCTGTTCTAACTCGCATGCTTCGCTTATGGGATGCAATTAAATTATCTGGAGGGCTAATTTCTCCATGCCTTCTTCTATTTAAAATTCCCTATTACCCTCAGTTTTTCCCCTAGGAGAACCGGAGTCAGCTTAAGCGGTGGTTAGATTACAGTTTTCTCATGGCATTCCCCTGCTGGAATACTACCGCTATCTCAAACTTCGACACTTCATACACACTTTGATCTACCTTCACTCTTCACCGTATTCACTTATGTTTCTTGAGAGGAAGTGTCGCTCCAGCCCATATGGCTCTGCTTTGATATCACTAATCTCAATAGTGTTCTCTAGATGCACGGTTGTCAGACCATATCAGACCCAATAGGAAACTGAACTGTCTATCTCCTGAGGATTGGCAGGATATCTGGAAAACAACAGCCAAGAGCTCAAGGAACATTTTAGTCTTAGAATTTGTTTAAGGTTTTTTATAGATGTTATTATGCCTCAGCAAACTTGGCTCGATTTATGCCTGCATAGCACTGGCTTTCTAGGGTTCCCTCATCCTGACAATGATGCACATTTGGTGGTCCTGGCCAATTGTCCATTGCCTATGGATACAGGTCTATAACCTTTATCCATACACTGCTCCACAAAAATCTCCATAAAACCAATGTGAAGCGCTTCTCAACAAACCAATAACTACTTTATTTAGGTCTGAATGTATTTTAGTTCAGCGACTAAACTCCAAATCCTGAAAAACACCACCTTTGGTTTTGAGGCAGTAAGGAATAGACTAACTGGAATTAAGGTTAATGAACAGCTGACAGCTACCCTAATTGATTCTCATGCAAAATTTCTTCTTATCTGGCAGCCCCAGATATCCTTCTCCCAGCCTCCTTGATTTGATAGTTGTTTGCTGACCATTGAATTGTGTCCTGCCTGGAATGCTACCCCTTCTTCTCTTCTTTCATGTTACCTTACTTTCTCCAACCTTTTCTTCTCCATCTTTTCCTTCATACTCTATTTTACACTTTTTGTTTCTATTACGTTTCCTTGTAAGAAACGTCCTACTATACACTTTCAACAATTGCTACGCTCCTTTCTTTGAAGGTCTTCATAGCCTGCCAGGTAGAGTTTTCATAGCCTGCCAGGTAGAGTTAAAACTAGCACTGCAACGTTCTAATAACCCCTGAATTCTTTGGCGGCCGAAGCACTTGGGGCACTTTACTGTCATTCTCTTATGCCATACTCCTATATGCTTTGTTTCTGTGCCTAGATTTAATTTTGTTATACTGCTGTGAAAACACTTGAAACATTGCTGCTATGTTGGCTTATCTGTAGGTTTGCTTAACAATAAACTCTTTGTGAAAGAAAACACTAGATGCTTGGCTGCCATGCTGATCCACTAGAGTAAAATTGGGAATTCTTATTTGAATATTTGTTCGAGGTCACAGAATCAGTGTACTGAAACAAGATAGTCAGCATGACAGGTGGGCAACCAGCATATTCAGAAGAAAGGTTGAGCAATGGCAGTCTCCATATTTCTCTTATGACAAGTGTACTTAAACTTGTATGTAAAACCAGCATAATCTCAGATTGTGCTTGGATAAATTGTGATCTTTACTACGTTGGAAATTATAGTTCTACCTCAGGGGGGTTGCGATGGATGACATGTGCAGTGGTGAAAGCAAAAAGGTTGGTATAAGAGGAGAGATTAAAGTCAGTATGTTGGTGCCAACATGAAAGCATGCAGGCGTGGGGTGATGAGGTGACGGGGAGGATGGGGGTTGGCATGCAGGATGGGTGGTAAAAGCAGGGGAGTTCAGGTGCAGTGGTGAGAGCAAGGGGTGGCATACAAAGGCACTGTGGCGACTGCATAGGGGAGGATGGTGGTCAGGAGCATTGGTGTGGTAGTGAGAGCAAGGGGGATGGTGTGCAGCATGGAAGTGAAAGGGGAAGAGCGTGTCAGTGTGTGTACATGGTGGTGAGAATGGGGTATGGATGGGGGTTGGAAGTGTGTGTCTAAAGTGTAATAGTGAGAAAGGGTGCAGGCATATTTGAGAGATGGGAGGGTGTTGAGAAGGCAGCCAAACAGGTGTGCTTGTGAAAGCAAGGAGAGGGGACATACAGGTGTGGTAGTGAAAGAGCAGGGGACTGGAGCATAAAGGAACAGTGATGACAGACAAGGGGAGTTACAACCCCAATTCGAAAAAAGCTGGGATGTTGTGTCAAATCTACATAAAAACAGAATGCAATGATCTGCAAGACTCATAAACCCAGATTTTATTCACAATAGAAAACAAATGAAATGTTTAAAACAGTATCAAGGTGAGTGATTTGCCGGTATCAAGGTGAGTGATTTGTCAGAAGAAGGGGAAAAAGAGGACCCCCGTAGGGAGTGCACTCACCAGATGTCGGAGAAGTAAAGGCTGTCTTTTTCTCAAGAGACAGCCCCCCTGAGACCACAGCTTTCCTGCTATGCTAATAGCAGAACATGTCAAAAGCTGGATACAGTGTTTGCACTGTATCCAGCGACTGACAGGTCACGCAAAAAGTATTAAACAGGAAGGGGTGGGGTAAATTTAGTGGAGGTGGGGGCGCCCGTGTTTTGCCTTGCCTAGGGCAGCCCCAAACCAGAATACACCACTGCGTTCAGGGACCACCAATTGAAAAAGATCCGACTGACCCGGATCGCCTTGGTATGCGATCCGGGCCAGTCACAATTAGGCAGCGGCAGCCAATAAACAGGTAGGTTACACGGCTGCTTCCTCCTCGCTAGGACCCTGTGAGGCCCCCGCAAGCGGCCGTCTAATCTGCCTGTTTAGAGGATCTCTCTGTCATTGTGTGGGTTTCCTCCGGGTGCTCTGGTTTCCTCCTCTTGACATCTGCTGTATTGGGAGTGGGGTGCTCTGGATGTCTGCTTATAATTATAATAATTTAATTCCATGCCAGTTGAAAAGGAGGGTTGCAGACTGCTGGTATCGTCCACAGGAGAACTTTATTGAGGACACCATGATTACTATTACTATGACAATAAAGAGTAGATGCATAGTCCTATACAACCGGCCCTTTGAGGGTAACCATACTGCTGATGCGGCCCCCGATGAATTTGAGTTTGCCACCCCTGATGTAGTGAATATTACTTCTAAAAACACTAAATCAGTTCAGCCACATTTTCCTCATTAATTCAAAACCAGGAAGACAGCAAAAGAAAACATCAATCTATCATTCTCAATGTTTACTTTTAGGGATCTGTTTTTGTGGCTAGGGGTGTGTCATATAGAGATCTATAGTACAACAAGGGTGTGTAGCAGTGGGTAAGGAGTTGGCCTAGCACACAGTCGTGGGATCAGTTCTAATGTCAGACACCTGCATATATCGGACACTGATGACTGATTGAGAAAAAAACAGGTCGGAGATAATTTTAATGTGATCATTATTCTGCTTGAAAATGTCTATAATGATGAACTCTAAACAAAAAACTAAGTACACATTGGAAATGCATATATGTCAGCTGTTTTGACACCAAAGGGATTTGTAATGCTGTTCATCCAGTCTTGTTATGTACAAACCTCCTGGAAGATTGCTCCACTATTTCTAGGTTTAATATACAGCTTCCTACATCACATTCCTGCTATTGCATGAGCAATGATGCCAAGGGTTTGCTTCATAGAGCAGGATGGAGGTGGAAAGGTCACACTGCAAGCAAGACCAAAGGGGTGTTAGTGCCCCGGATATGAAGCGATCGAGGTTTGAAAACTCACAAGACAGGCTGAAACAGAGTTTCTTTGACAGGTAAAACAGCTCACAAACATTTTTGTCTTGGGTTCCCCTTTAAGCTTCCTCCACCTTTTAACTTTACCACAAGTGGATGTCTATTATAAAATGGCAGGGACTGATGTGAATACCACTAGTGGAAAATCAAAGCCAAAGAAAACTACCAGCTGTATTTTATCAATAAAAGTGTATCTAAAGCCAAAGCTTTTTTGGTTTGGCTCTAGTAGGGACGGGTTAGCACCATGCCAATTGTGCTCTGTAGCCCCTTTAGGAAGGTTTACTCTTTTTGTTTTAGTGACCAATGTCAATCTAGGACTAAATGTGAGGGAATATCCAAAATTTACAGTCGCCACCAGAACAGGAATAGAGGGGGAATCTTGCTCAGGACACTTGTTCCAGTGACAGCTATCTTAGAGGAGATTTCACTTTGGAGAAATCTAGGAAAAGTTGTATGCTGAACTCTCCAGTGTTCCAGGTCTTAAAACTCTGCAGCCATGCATTTACTACGCTGCAGAGTTTTAAGCCATGGAACACTGGAGAGTTCAGCATACAACTGACACTTCTAGGTGTGTTGAATACCTGCTCCCCCAGCATGCATTGCGATTCCTCATGACACCTTTTAAGTATTATGTTGATGTAGGAAGCGGTGGAAGAAACCACAGCATGTAGAAGGGGAAACAGTTATTTAACATATCCAGACATGCCTGTTACTTTCAGCAGCCTGGGATCTGCTACGCGGCAGAGTTTTAGAACACAAGCTGCCAGGAAAAGTAGGTAAACAACATCTCCTTTTACATTCATTTGGGCACCATACTGACAAGGTAATTTTAAAATGCAGTGATTACAAAATAATGTGTGTAATCAGAATGAAATTGATGATGAATAAGTGTGTATAAAAGCAAATTCCAAACAATCAGCTTGTCAGCCCATATCAGAGAGCTAAAAGACAGATTGGGCCGTGCATCAAGATGACTCAACTCTCTGAAGACGAAGATCATGCATCTCCATACTGATCAGACCAAATCGGATATCAGGTAGATAAAAGGAGGACATAACGCTAATCCACAACTTCCTCGATTTTTTTTTTTTAAATAGAAGAATGGAGTAGAGATGGAAGGGAAACTTAATGAGAACAAGCACAAGCCCTCAATCAATTTTATGTGCATAAAACAACTTCTGGAAATGATTATTCGCAAATAAATTTTATCTTGCATCACCCTATTATTGTACTTAACTATAAACCAAGATGTAAAGCTAATGCAACAAAGCATTCGTTTAAGAACTGGTTAAAATCTAAAAAGGTACATGATGTTCCTCTCCATTCTTCAAAATAAATGCCACACTATGTGGTCAAAAAGTATGTGGACACTCCTCCAAATCTTTGAGTTCAGATGTTTCCAGTTAAGGGATCAGTTAATGCTACAGCATACAAATGCATTTTTAAACAATTCCGTGCTTCCAGCCTTGTGACAACAGTTTGGGGAAGCACCACAACTACTGACCTCGCCATAAAAATACTATATTCAAGACCAGGAACCAATATGGTAATTGTGCCCGCCTAGCTTTTGCCTACATCTGCTAGATTTCACCCTGATGGGCTTACTCACAGAGACAGCTAAGGGAAGGTTTTTTTGTTGTTCCAGTAGGACTATGCCCCTGTGTACAAAGCCAAGTCCATAAGGGCATGGTTTGATAGGTAACTAAAGGAACTTGAATGGTCTTAAACAGCTTCTATCCAACATCAGTGCCTGTCATCTCAAATGCTGTTTTGGCTGAATTGGCACAGATTCCCACAGACTTGCTCCAATATGGAAAACCTTCCCAAAAAAAATGTAGGCGGTTATATCTTGGGGATATCTACCAACAAGCTCATATAGGTGTGTTAGATCAGTGTCCACAACCTTTGGCCCATAAAATATATTTAAAAAAAAACAAATAATGAAATGAATGAAGTCTAATGATTACACAACAAGTGGATATGGACACAATCAAACAATGGTGGAAAGTGATGAACAATCCAAACAATAACTGATCTTCCTGTGAGAACAATGTTTTTAAGTCCACGCCTAGATGAGTGAGCTATCTGCCACCCAATGCTAGAGAAACTCACCACAGCAGTTGGACCCTTTGTTACAGAAGGTCAAAAGCGCATAAGGGTAACTACTGGTTATCTTCACAAGTAAACCACCAAGTGACCCCGTCAAGGTATTTACTCCACTAGACCTCTGAAGGTATGCTGTGGTATCTGGCACCAAGACGTCAGTAGCAGATCATTTTAAGTCCTGTAAGTTTTTGGGCATCCTGATCGGTGTGCAGCCACACCCATGCACCCTGACAACAGTTCACCAGTTTTCCTTCCTTGCACCACTTTTGGTAGGTCCTGACCACTGCAGACCAGGAACATCCTACAAGAGCTGCAGTTTTGGAGTTGCTCTGACCCAGTCATCTGGCAATAACAATTTGGCCCTTGTCAAAGTCCCTCTAATCCTTACACTTGTCCATTTTTTCTGCTTCCAACACATCAACTTCGGGGGCAAAATGTTCACTTATTGCCTACGATGCCCCACCCACTTACAGGTGCCATTGTAATGAGATAATCAATGTTATTCACTTCACCTGTCAGTGGTCATGTTGTGTTCATGTAATGTTATCACTGATCGGTGTATATGCTAAGTAACATTTTCTGAAATCACATTATATTAGCGCCATAAGTCGTATTTTTAAATGTTTTGGTTGAAATAAAACAATGCTACACTATACTATGAGATTGTTTGCGTTTTGCTTATCAGGAAACAGGATGTCTTGCTGCACTCCTTACCGAAACAACCCAAAACTGAAACAGAAAAAAGGAATAATGTCACCAGCACACCGTTTTTGTAAATCAATGATCCATTTTAATGGCACATTGCCATCCAATACAAGCGCTTTCGGGGCCGCAGGGGGTCCCCTTCATCAGGCTCAGAAAATACAAAACGGTGTGCTGGTGACATTATTCCTTTTTTCCTTGCTTATCAGGAGACACGGAGCTTGTGAATCCTCTGGTATTGGAGATAAGTTTGCATATGTTACTGATGGTGGTTTACTTTTGAAGATACCAGTATTTACCTTATTTATTACTTATGTGCATCTGATCTTATAATAAAAGGTCCAAATGTTCTGGAGAGTTTGTCTAGCATTGAGTGACACTTACCTGGGTGTGTACTTAAGACTGAAGTTCACAAGGAAAAATTTGTTATCGTTAGGTCTTTTCATCACTTTCCCACAATTGTTTGAGTTTGTCCATATCCACTTGTATTATTAGATTTCACTATTTGGATAACCGGCCATTCATATGTTTATAAAAGACAGATTATGACAATAAGTGTGCAAAATAGGTAAATAAAAGGGAATTAAAAGTACAAAGCTTACCTGTGCATAGAAGTCTGTTGTAGGAGATGATCTGGACCGCTCATGGATATATTGAGATCTTTCATTTTGGTCAAGACCAGCATCGAGAATATTGTCAGCAGAATGACATCGGCCAGAATTTTTCCTTTCTAAGGGCTGTTTCTGTTCTTTCCATGATGCTTGGTATTCTGCAAAAGTCCCTAACCTCGGAGGTTGTTGTGCAGTATCAAAGCTTTCATAACTAGCCCCATGTTGGGGCTCTGTAGGGTTCTTATCCCTATCGATTATATTTTCAGCTCCTAGAGAAGCAGCACGAGACCTCTTCTCAAGCCAAGATTCTCTTGGAACATTTTCATAATCCTTAACATTGTATGTTTCATGTTTTTCATCTGTGAAAGTGGGAGGAATTGATTTTGGAGCAGGCTGTGCAGACTTGCTAGTCTCTTCAAAAAATTTCCATTTGTCTGCAAAAGATCCAACAGCTTCTTGAGATGCATTCGATTCAAAATTGTTATTATCCTCACAAATTCCAACTTCATTAATCTTTTCAGGCTCTGAATAAGACTTAAGCTTTTGCTGTGCTGTAAACCTTTTTCTGGCACCGATACGAGTTACATTTTGAGAGCTGCTCACTGGTACATGCCTAGGCTGAACTTGCTCACCAGGGTAGGAAGAAACATCAGTATGAAAAGAAGGTTTTGAAACCTTATACCCCTGCTTTCTTTGCTCTGGAGAGAGTGAAGAATCAACAATCACTGGTTCTAGATCTCGACGTCTGAAGGAAGTAGCTCTAAGAACTCTTGCCTGGGCCTCCTTTAAATGGTTCTTGTATGTGCTTGAAAAGGCGCCATCAGAAGAAGGGGTCACACTTTCTGGAGAATCCTGATTCCAGCTTTCGAAACTATCCCCCTCATTACATTCAGTTAAAGTTGCTGTACTTTTACTTTTTTGAAGGCGGGCTTTCCTTTGTTGTATTTCATTTCTCAAAGTGGTTGCAAAACGATCACTACGTCGGGAATGTTTAGCTGCATCAATGTATTTTTCATTGGTGTCTGGAGAGCTAACTGATCGGTTTCTTCCTTCCTGAGTTAAAGAATGCAGCATTGGTGTAATCTGAGGTGTGATCTTGCTGTCCTCCTGGTCATTCCAGCAATAATCTTGATGTGGCCTGTATTTATTAGGGGACACTTGCTTGTTGGTAAGGTCATGCTGTGATACATTATGATTGCTATGGTGCCCTTCATAGGAGTCACTAACTTTTCTAGGCTTCATCCTTTCATTATTACTTGGATAAATATCTTTTTTCTCTATCACTTTTGAACTATACACATCACAGCTTTCCGGTGAAGGTTGATTGTTTTGCTGAGGTAGAGAGTAACCACTTTTTAGGGCCCCACTGTCTTGCTGCGTGGACCATGTATTAGAAGGGATTTCGGATTTGCTGTACTCCTCATTATACTGATGATGCGAGATGGTTACTTGAGGTGGCTGTTTTGAATTTGCACTGGAAATCCGGCTCGGTGCATTACAATCCCCTCTTACCCTTCCCCCATTGTTGCTCTCAGAGAAACTAGGACCTCTGGTGTGAGGTGCACTGTAAACATTCGGTTGGTCTGCATCCACCTCATAACTTCCAGAAGAAAAGGCCACCTGCTGTGGTGGTGCATTAACAAATGGAGAAACTCTGGTATTTTGAAAGAAAGTGCTTTCATCACTGTATTGACGCTGGTGATGGTAATTATAAGAGGGCTGAGCAAATCTAACATCACTTGTAGACTGAGAAGACTGTAACCTCCCGGAATGTGGTACACTATTTTGGTGTTTTTCTTTATAAGATGCTATTTGATCCAAATGGATTTCAGACTTATATGAAGAATTACTTATTCGCCTATCAGGTGCTCTTAAAAGTCTTTGTTGATAATCCGAAATCTCTGAATTCCAGTCAGGTCTTAAATGAGATCTATTTGCAACATTAAAGTGCTGTGTGCTTGTTAACTCGGAATGAGTAGGTGCAGGTTTCTCATGACTTTTTGTTACAGCATAACTGTCACTTCGGAGTGGTGGAGGTGGGGGAGGAGGTGACGAAGCAGTTTTTCTCTTATCTGGAACATGCCAAACTGGCCCAAAATTTGAGCGTCCGGATTGTCTTGACTCAACATTGTCTTCCGTTCGTTGTTGTTTGTTACTGTCAACGGACAAGGATGGAGACTGGTAGCCCTGCTTATCATCCACTCTTCTAAGATCCTGTGAAACCTGTCCACCTTTGCCATGTGTTGGTTTGGCATTGTCCCATTCATTAATTTGATACAAGATATTTTCACTGGAAACAGAACTGTTTTTAGATAAACTGTGTTCAGGGGTGACGAAGCTTGTAGAAAAAGAACCATATGCTGAATCCCTCTTATTCTGGTTACCCACATAGTCTATGCTGTTATTAGATTTAGAAGACGACAATTTACCAGATTGGTAGGTTTGGTCAATACTGTCCATACTTCCCACTGAGCTGAAATGCCCAGAACTCCTCTGCAAGTTGGCTTGGTCCCAAGAGCTTGATAAGTCATGAGATGAAGAACTGTAAACATGAACATACAAAGCTTATAAGTATAGAAAACCACACATGAATTCAGTTATTGCAACAGTTGGAGGATAAAAAGTCAAGTCCTCTCTAACTTGCTAAGAGCTCATTTTTAGACTAGCGGTGTTATAGTACATAGTTGGTGTTTACACTGTTAAAAAAAAATAAAAAGTAAAAAATAAATTACATACACAATTAGTATAATTCCCATGAAAAAATATACTGGAAACCTTAGCTACGTAGTAAGTGCAGGACCTAGCAATATGAAAGCAGTACTTTATTAAACATATTAGGAAAATAAATTGCTAATATATTAATATAAGCAGATAATCTATTGTAATAATTATTAAACAAATAGTATTTTCTATACTTTTTAACCTGTAACAATGCATATTTTTTTAAAAATCAATTTATAGTCTAAAAACTATAATTGCTGTGATATTAAAGAAAATGGTAAAAACAAATAAATCTATTAATATGATAACCATTAAGGCTGACACATTGACAGATGCTACCTGGAGTGGTATTGGGAATTCCATGACGGGTTAAGATTGGAATTTGACAGTTGTGCAGTCAAAGTTTCCATGGGACTTTCAATAAATTTCGTTGAATGCCAGGAATGGGGTCTATAAGCAATATCATTTTTCCTGAAAAAGAAAATTCAAAGAAATTAAATGTATTATGTAAAATGCTGCTTTTATAGGCAAAGTGGGTCAAAATTTTCACAATACTATCAAGAATTATATACTATACAGGGGGACCGTTTTCCTCATTTTAAACAAACAACAAAATCCTAAAAAAGTCACCGATCTCCAGTCCTGGGTTCCCGAGTGCCTGGTTCCAGACTTTAAAGCGCCAATGAGATCTACGTGTAGGCAAAGTTACTGATTGAAAGCCTGCACACAAATCCCTTCATAAAACGGACCCTGTACAACCCTCTCTATCTACAAGATCTGGGTATTCTCAGAAAAGAAGTGATGACAGGTAGAGATTATGCAGTTTTTAATTAGTGTTACAGGAGAGGAAGAGGTTTGGGGGTAAACTAGAAGAGTAAATAGTATTTACTGTCTATGTACAGTGATTGCAACATGTCTGTGGACTGAACAAATAGAAGCTGCAGAGATTAATTCAAAAAGAGCCCAGTGACATCATTAAAACAACACATCATGACATGTGCATAGACTAGTGATCCTACCTCCTTTTAGTGGGAATGGCACTTCCTTCATTTCCCCAGATTTAATCTATAGCATGACAAAGCCAAGGTGTAGAGCATTATGAATTCTACGTATAGGCGAGGCATGGGGCAGGACTACAGTGCACTTGTCACTGCTTTAACCTGGTGTGGACATGCAAGGGGCCATACCATTGTGGCTTATTAATTTATTTTTAAACTGTAGATGAGTAAGAAACAAACAAACCTAATAAAAGGAAGAGGCATTACTCAAAATATGTTACCACTTTTTTTTTTTTTCAACCTAATCTAAAGAGTTTTTAACCTGATTTATAGGAGCTAATTTCTAAAGGTTTTGACCCAAATTCTGTGTTGGGGGACATATATACACAAGACACCACCATACTTATATTTTAATGTATGCTCTAATACATACAGACACTTAAAAGGCATCACAACACAAGCACATGACACAATGGGAGAATGAGGCACTCTATAAGGTCTCTACCAAGCACACAGCGGATTAACCGGAACCATGTTACAAGGACAAAACACGGGGTACCAATACTGTACCTCATAGAACTTCTCAAGATGTTCATGAGAAAATTCCTTGCCAAAAGAAGATCTTTATCTGATGGCATGGTCTTTGTTATAATATTCACCATCACTTGCCTCCTTCTGGACAGCCAGGTAAGAAAAGGGACAAACCATTCTGAGATTCAGAACCAACCAAATCAAAGAAAGAAGAAAGCGCACTTTTCCATCTTGACTTTAGATAGTTTCAAGCATTTCAGTAAATCAAATCAGTTTGGATTATGTAGATACCTGGACCTATAGTCACACAATACCCCACACTGCCTGTCCCATCCTATTCTCCTAAAGTAATTTTAAAAAGTAACAGAAACCTCAACATGCTTATAGTGTATCAAAAAACAAAACTTTATTTTATTTCTCAGGGTTTTATTGTTGCCCATGTCCCCATTATAGCTGACCACACAGTTATTTTTCTTTCCGTTCAACCTACAGTAATGTTCGCTTAGCAAGACGCCATAGTGTGAAGTGCCCTGAATCTTTTGTTTTGTACTGAAGGGTCAATTAGAGACCAAATAGTTGATCCTCTCTTAGCGCTCACTTTATTCAGCCTACAGTAACACGTACTTAGCTCACAGCTATAATGTAAACAGGCCCTGAACCTTTTGATTTGTAATGAAGGGGACGATCAGAGACCAAATGGTTGATCCTCCCTTAATGTTTCTTTAAAAGTAGGCAGTAGGACTAATGACTTTCTCACACGATCCAACCCCTTTGTGTTTCCAGCAATGCAATCAGCCTGTTTCTGAGTATCGGCGCTTTTGCCAGGCACCAGAGCATGCCGATTGACCAGCAATCATGTGAGAAAAAAAGCTTGTTATGCTTTATTACTTTTGAGGCTTTTTTTTTTTTTTTTATGAAATTGACATTTTTTGCACTCGTCAGTCTACAATAAAACAGAGCAGGGTTATTATTAAAATAGCATTCACTAAAAAGTCTTATATTTCCTTATTAATACAACATTTTTTTTAGTCATGCAGAATAATCAGTTATGGGCAAGTTAACTGATGTATATGACATTGGTAAATCTGACCTGGGCATCTAGGTTTTCATGACCTCTAGATACAAAATGGTAAAAAAACATGCTACAAAGATCTGGATTCAGTGCCTCAGCTGTACTATACCTCAGCTGGAAACTAACCCCTGCAGAGAGGAACTATTCAAAAGTTGAAAAGGGAGTGTCTGGCTATAAAGTGGGCACTAGGGCCATTGAGGTATTCCCTTTTGGGAAGACATTTCCATCCGATTACAGACCATTCTTCTCTTCATTGGATGGCTCAGAACAAAAGCAACAATGCAAGGGTTACAAGATACCTTCTAGCTCTGCAAATTTTACGAACACAGGGCAGAGAACCAGCAACAAAATGCTGATAGAAAAAGTCAAGTCCTAGCAGAACACTATAAAAACTAAAGCTGCCTATTTGTTGCCGGGAACCCATAAGTGGCACCCGGGTAATCAGGAACGGACTTGAGTTTATTTTGCGGCTCAGACAAGCAGATCTTGTGTTAGTTTTATGCTATGGCCTTGCCGTACAAAGCCTTTGTGCACTGAAACCATGTTTGCTGCCTTGCGGAATAAAAGTGCAGGACAAGCCTTCTTGGACTGTTCTTAGATGTCGGTATCTGCATGCATGGTTTACTTTAAAACAGAACTACAGGCAGATATAGAAGACACAATTTAATGCAGCTATGTATTTATTAATACCTCCCTAAATTATTTTAAGTGCAAGCAACTATTTAGATTTGGCTAAAGAAATTGGATTAGCCCCTTAGAACTCCCTGACACTCTGAGACAAAATATTACCCACGAAGGGGTCATAGGCGACTCATAGGCTTGCAATACAAAAGATAGGTTTCATTGTGTTGCTATAGAAAGCAGGAAACACAGTCTTCTGGCTGCTTCATGAACACATATCTCAACAACAAAAAGTATAAATAAGAAAATAAATAAGAAATGTTAAAGCATTATCTCCATGTCACACAACCAACGGCACAGCTGCTGGTGTGCTTGTGCCCGCAATGTGTGCTCAATTGAGCCGCAGTGCAAGGTTTCTTTCTTTTTGTTAGAACTTTAGTGAAATGTCACAAGTGATATTTCATTAAGTTCTATGGGCACACTACGATGCGGCTGTACCACAGCAGGAATGCATATGGTGTGAACGTGTACTAAGGACAGGAGTTTCCTTTACATTATTCTGTCACTATGTTGGCAATAGCAGTTCAACAATTGCCGATTGAGCCACTGTTGGGCAAGGTGTAACAATTCCAGAAGACAGTAGTCTCTCATCAAGGTAGTCTGTTATTAAACAAGAATATTAAAACTGCAGAGCAGTGGGAAAAAAAATGACACACTGACAAGACAGAAAAACTATTGTGCTAGGGTGCTCTTACACGTACTGGAAATGATGGTTTAACTGGCACGTACCACCCTATTTGTCTGCTTCCCCTAAGCAAGTTTAGCGGTAATGGGAATGAGCCAAGCTGAGGTCTTCATTACAGTGTACATATTGGCTAAAGCCTGCCCTCTAGTGTTCACACGCAGGACTAGCAGGAGAATATTTTATAGCAAGTATTCCATTACATTATTTCCTCCAGCTCAATGCACAGTATATATTGAACTAGAGACTACACAGTTTGATTGAACCTGGAAATAACCGCAGCTAAATAAAACTAAATTAGGAAAATATTTTACACATGATTAAATTAAAAGAACCAAATGTGCAAAAAATATATTGTATTCCAATAACTGCCTGCAGATAGTTGTGCACAGATAACTTTTGGATTTGGATACAGTGGGGAAGAGTCAATTTTTTGTTCCCGTCTGTATCAATTTTGAGAGAATCCCCCACTATTTGTCCTGGTGACCATTGTCATACAGACAGAAAGTCAGGGGAAATCTAACATTTTAGAGCCTTGCTTCTCACCTGGTGGGTCGTGACCCTGTGTTTAGTGGGTCGCCACGTGCCTTCCACTTTTCTAGGCGAGAGGCTCCTCAGCCTCCCCCTAGCACAGCACTGTCAGTTCTCTCGCTCAGCAGCCATTCAGAATATGCTGCCCGGTGCCGAGTGTCGGCTTGAGGTGGGGTGAGCTGGAGTTATGGCCGTGAGGGAGCTTCATCCATACATGCATTGCTTACAGCTCCCTCATGTCCCCTGTAGAGGTGCCTGGACTGGAGTGATGTCACATTCTGGCTCCTGGGACATCTATAGGGGACACGCAAGGGAGCTGTACAAGCAATACACATATGGATGGAGCTCCATCACAGCACAGCAGCTCAGCACTGGACCTCAGGCTGAGGATCCACTATGGTTCTCATAAGGTAGGGAGACTGGGTGGATCTTAGAAAAAAAAATTTTTGGGGGAGTATGCATGTGTGAGATTGTGTCTGTGGTTGTGTGTGTTTGTGAATATTTTTAAAGGGCCGTTCACACGTTAATCGAACAGCCCTGTGCGATTAATGCACAGTACCACACCACACCTACTACATGTTCTGGTGTGGGAGGTGCGTTGCCATTCATTTGAATGGTACCCCAAAACACACCTCCCTCCCACAGTTCAATCGCCCGCACTGGAACGCACGGTACCACAATGCCGTGCGCTCCACAGCAGTGTGACTTGGGTCGCCACTTAACGACCAAGGACAAATGTGGGTCCTGAGGTTACACGGGTTGAGAGCCACCGCTTTAGAGCAAGGTGAGGGAGAATCTTCCAATGATGACACATGTTCCCCTGACAATTGTCTTACGGAATGCCATTCACTTTGATTAGATTTCTTCTCATTTCCTGTTTTATCTCCAGGGCAGGAAAGTAAAAGGTACATCTCCCCAGCTGGACGCAGGCAGCATAAAATAATCTGATAAGAGTAGGGAACAGCTAAAACTCCTA